AAGGGCTTAAACTGTTTTCTATGATAAGTTTGCTGGAAAAATACTTATGTCAATAATTTTTGGTATAAAAATGTCAAGAAAATTGATTTAAGGACCAAACCGGAAATTTTTTAAATAAAGGGGTAAAAAGAGTAAATTCTTCAATTAAGGAGGGGCTGAAAACAGAAAATCTTCAAGGCTAGTTAATACATACAATTTGACCAATTGATGGTAACACGCTTGTCGACGAAATACAATATACTGCAATACCAAAAGTCGTTGTCAAACGAATTGGTTCGGTCTCGAACCAATAAAAATCCAAAACCACTAACACGCCGAAGTTACGACATTTCGATTTATAACCATAACGATTACCATTACAATGCGAGTGTGCACAGACGTCTACGCACCATCTTTGGGCCCCAAAAGTGTAAAATCTTGTCCGTTGAGCCTAGCTAGCCCAACGACCTGATCTTAAGGCCCGAAGGTCTCTCTTTCTCTTACGAAGTGTTGGGTTTTACCGACCCTACATGACGTAACAGGACTTTCAATGGCAATATGCTGCTGGTCCCCAAGGGTCCTTCAGTGCTGCTAGTAAAGTCTGTAACTCACAATTGCGAGTTGGGCTTCGGGCCCTTCGCAATTGCATTTGGTCTCGGACGACGCGGGGAAACCCCGAAGGTTTCGTACCTTTTTCCTTCCCTTCGGTCGTGGGACTTAACAAGTCCAGGAGGATCGAGACGCGTGAAGATTTACGAGTGACGCCTATAAGGATCGCTCGTAAGGTTGTTGACTTGTCGTTTTCACGAACGCTTGTCCCAACACTTCACCACCCTCTGTACCCTCGATGCCTCCGGAATACAACGATACAACGATAGGAAAACGTCGGGTTTTCCTAGGATTTCAATAACGATTACGAATTTCCGATCGAACTTCACAACCCTTACGCTTACATCTATAGAATTCAAACAAGCATACTCATGGATCATCACTTATTATTTTTACACCATTCAATTTCTAGAAAATATCGGATTTTCTAAAGGTTTTCACACAACACATCGGATTTCAAACTCTACTTATGAACTCACCAACATTTCGTATGTTGACGTTTTTCAAAATACTTGTATTCTCAGGTAACAGATAAAGTGAAGATGATTTGTACTAGCTGACGTTTTGCTATGATTTAAGTAGTACCAAACAGTTATTTCTTTGAATGTAATTTTTGGAACAATGTAATGTATGTAAACGTTACCAGTTGTATCAATTCCAAATGTTGGTGATGTATGATGTTATGTTTCATATATATGCATTGTAATGGTATTCAATGAGTCACGATAGCCCCCGGACATTTCCGCCGTCTGGTTCGGGGGTGTGACATGATCATTCAGATTGGGTCCAAACAATGCAAGATGAGTTCCATGAGTTTGAGCGGAACTGAGTTTGGAGGTTGATACCTACACCAAAGGATGCGTCTGTAGTTGGCTTGAAGTGGGTCTTCAGAAATAAGTTGGATAAAGAAGGGAATGTCATTCGCAACAAGGCTTGATTGGTGGTGAAAGGATATTGTCAAGAAGAGGGGATAAATTATGAGGAGACCTTCGCTCCAGTAGCTAGGTTGGAATAAGTAAGGATCTTCTTCGCATATGCTGCTCATAAAAACTTCAAAGTCTTCCAAATGGATGTCAAATGTGCTTTCTTGAATGAAGAATTAGAAGAAACAATTTATGTTGAGCAACTGCCTGGGTTTGTGAATGAGAAATTCCCTGATCATTGCTATGTGCTGGATAAAGCATTCTATGGATTAAAGCAAGCACCGAGAGCCTGGTATGAAACTTTAACTCGTTTTCTAAAAATATCAAAATTTAAGCAAGGTTCGGTTGACCCTACCTTCTTCTGAAAGAAAGAAGGCAAACATCTAATGATTGTTCAAATTTATGTTGATGATATCATCTTCGGCTCTACGAATCCTAGCTTAACAGCTGAATTCAGAAAGTTGCTCAAGACTAAATTTGAAATGAGCGCAATGGGTCCAATTAACTTTTTTCTTGGTTTAAACATTAGTCAGGGAACAGAAGGTATATTCATCAACCAGGAGGCTTATACAAAGACATTACTGACGAAGTTCGGTATGACAGGCGACTCAAAAGTGAAGGTTCCAATGGCGTTTGGCACTAAACTAACACAAAGGTACCACCACATAAACATAACAATAAATAACGTGTATATAAAACCTTCAACATAACTGGACCGCCTCATCGGGCCTTCGGCCTATCAGGACCATTATCCGGGCCTTCGGCCAGAATGGTCCGCTTCATAGGCCCTCAATCTATTTGGTCCGCCTTAGGTCTCTTGGCCTTCAGACTCTACTGGTCCGCCTCAGCCCAACCATACATAACATGTCGACATATACATAACATATAAATATATGACCAGTCAGCAAACATCAAGCAAATCCAATAAATTACTATAGCATAACAACATCCTATATACCAGATACAGATGTAACTGATCACTAAAACATAGCAACATATGGTAAACCAGGATATCAATCCAATGGGCCGGCCTTGGTGCATTCTACCCAAAAATACAATGAGGAATAACTCACCTCTAACTGTTGAATGACTCAGATAAATCTCTATCTGGTGGTTCGAAAAATCCTTGTATTGTCATCATAAAACACATCCAACTAATAATTGGATTATGACCCATATCTAAGAGTCTAAGCTAGAGTAAATACCAATTTACCCTTTATCTAACCTGGCCCAAAACCAATGCCTAACACAACCATACAAAGGCCCAATTCCTAAAGCCATATATATATATATATATATATATATATATATATATATATATATATATATATATATATATATGGCCTAATATTCCAAATTAGGCCCAAACCCATCATAAGCCTAAAGTCCAATGAAGCCCAACATGCTAGTCCAAAGCCTTAAACCCCTAATGGCCGAAGGCCTAAAAATCGACCCATTGGCCTTCAGAACAGAACTCCTGGCGTCTGAACGTTGGGTGTTCCCATGCAAATGCCTGACGTTTGCTTACAGATCACCAACTTCTAAACCAATGACATAATGGATTAAGATAACCCGTTCAAACTTCAAATCCAAACATAGTGGAACGTATAAAGCCATAAAGTTGCAATCTTTATGGCCATGCATGGCTACAATGAGCCCAAAAGCTAAAACTCCAACTCCTTAACCCGTTAAGACACCACAAAACTTGCATGTAGTGAAAAGAAGGTCCAAGATCATATTTTATCACTTAATCTACCCTAAAATGTCCAAAAGGAAAACTCCTTTGGTCTAAGGTAGCTCTTACCCAAAAAGACCATGAAAATGAGGCTAATAAACATCAACTTCTAACATAAGCAAAATCTAGAGATATGATGATCAAGTTCATATCATTATTAATGATATGTTGGTAATTTTTGAGTTTAGTATACTACAACGCTATAATGGAAAAGTGAAAAAAATGTATAATGTTATATAATGGAAAAACGAAAAAGTAGGATGCTTTAATCGTCACGACCTTAATTTGTAAAATATAATATTATTATGATACATTGGTAATATATTTTGTTTTCTTTGTAGTTGGAAACACTGCAAACAATACTAAAAGATTCGGCTTTTAGCGCGGCACTAGAAGATTTGGTTTCGATCGTTGTCGTGATGAAATGAAAACGAATGAAAGGAGGGGAGTGATGAGGATGACTAGCTATTTTTTTTTTAAGATTTATGAAATGTGTTGTTTGGTTTATTATTTTAGAATAGTATGTTGGATATATTTCATTATGTTTAGATGAGTATTTTGGACCGGATGTTTAGATTAATATTTTGGATTGGATGCGGTATATATTATTAAGTGGTTAATGTTTCAAATTATTTTTCTACAAACTATAGTTTCACAACGGTTTTTATACTTTTTATACTTTATTTTTTAATTTTAATGTTAAATACCAAAAAAATGGAAAATAGTATTTATGGCGATGGACATACATTAGTCGCGATGAGGCTATTGCAGCGACATTGATAATTAGCGGCGACGGGGAGCAATATCGGCAACATATGAAACATTTACAATGAATCAGCACCAACGACCTTTTAATTTAGCGGCGACGCATCGTTGCAAAAACCTTTAACAGCGACATAGCTAATGTTTTAGCGGCGACGTCTGTCACCACTAATGTTCGCGTTTCTTGTATTGATATCTTAAAATTCTCCCTTGAAGTTTTTTGGAACCGTAAAATGTTTTTCCTTTGCATTCTAACCAACATGGAGGTTATTATGTATATTTCCTTCAATACATAATGGAACTTATATTGTAGCATAATGAAGCTTGAACCCGCGATGGTCGCTAAAATATTGCGAGTAAGATTCCATTAATTCATTTGCAGTTTCCAAAAAAAATCTATTGTTAAGTGAGCTGTTATTCATGTTTTTGATAGAAAATGTCAACAAGCAGAAAATATGCATCCCAACTACCTATGAAGTCACACATGACCGCAACATGTTTTCTATGGTTTGGTTCGTTCTTTAGTTTTGACAGTCAGCACAGGAGGATAATACGTCATCCATGTTTAACTTGATATGTGTTATGCCTAATTCTGTACGAGGGAACTCCAAATTCAAAAAGTAAAACGAGCATCACATTTTATGCTCTAATATTGTCTAATCATCCAATCTTTAACAAAAATATTAATTCCCGAATTAATTTAGAGACACCAGCAGAGCATCTCAAACAACATTTTGTTAGGTAAAGATTTGCATGAAGTTTATTTCGGTAGTCGAGACTGCTTTAGTGTATTAATAGTTATTTTGTGATAACTACAAAAAAGATGGGCATGTGAATATGTGATATACTCTTGCTCTCGTTTTTATCATTTTAGTGATTTAACTCTTAATTTATCTTATCCTACACAGTACATGTTGGATAATAGGGTCGTCTTCGATTTTATCCGATCCATATATAGGTCTCTTTCATGCTGCTCTCAAAACACAACGAAAATGACTTCTCCTAATTCCAACTTGGCAACTGCCCTTCTACTTTTACTCAGCTTTCAACTACTTTCCACCATCTCTGAAGGTATTGTGCCTTCTGGAGACACCTTCAGTTATGTAAACGAAGGTGATTTTGGAGAATATATCGTCGAGTACGATGCAGATTATCGTACTCTCCCCCCTTTTAGTAACCCATTCCAGCTTTGTTTCTACAACACCACCCCTAACACATTCACTCTCGCTCTACGTATGGGTACTGTCCGATCGGAGTCGCTCATGCGTTGGGTTTGGGAAGCTAACCGGGGAACCCAGTTGGTGAGAAAGCCACCCTCACCTTAGGTACAGATGGAAACCTTGTCCTGGCGGATTCCGATGGCCGGATTGCCTGGCAAACTAATACCGCCAACAAGGGTGTGGTCGGTTTTCAGGTGCTCCCCACCGGTAACATGGTACTTCATGATGGTACTGGCACTTTCATATGGCAAAGCTTCGATTCCCCAACTGATACTCTCTTGGTGGGTCAATCACTCCGAGCTGGTGGTGCTAGTAAGCTGGTGAGCCGGGCTTCCGCCGAGAACAACATTGACGGACCTTATAGCTTGGTGATGGAGCCTAAGCGGTTAGCCTTGTATTACAAGAGCGCTAACTCGCCTTACCCAATGCTTTATTGGACGTCTGTGGAGTGGTTCACTGTTGATGTCGGTAGTGTGACCAATGGTAGTTTGATCAATTTAACTCTGACGTCGGTCCCAGATACCGATGAGGGTTTTCTGTATTACTTGACTTTTGATTATTACATCACAAACCCACTTTCCGGTTGGAATCGCAACATGGCGTTTTCACGATACAACAACACCTTATCGTATCTCCGACTAGGGATAGATGGAAACCTTAAATTCTACACGTATAATCCGAACGTGCAAGGTGTGTCCTGGGAACTGGTCTACACGTTTCTCGACCGGAACTCCATAGAAAGTGAGTGCCAATTGCCGGAACGATGTGAAAAGTTTGGGCTATGTGAGGATAACCAGTGTGTTGCATGCCCAACACCATTTGGACTAAGTGGGTGGAGCAAAGATTGTGAGGCAAACAAGGTGACATCTTGTCAAGCAGGTGACTTTGGCTACTTCAAGCTTGATGGGGTTGACCATTTTATGACCAAGTACACAACGGGAGATTGGGTATCCAATCAATGGGACTGCGAGAGCAAATGCACCAAGGACTGCAATTGCATGGGGTATTTCTACCACACCGCTGATTCCAGGTGCTGGATTGCATATGATTTGAAGACATTAACAAGGGTTGGAAACTCGACTCATTTGGCGTATATCAAAGCACCTTACAAGTTATCCCTAAATGGAATTCGTCTTTGAATCTACATGAACAGCTTTTGATTTGTTTCACCGTTTTAGTTCTATGTTCAAGTTATAATGTGAATAAATAATATGTATGAATGATCATAAAGGCCTAGACACCCCTTTGTGGGGCATAGATAGGTATTTCCCAGCAACCGTCCGTCTAATCCATATGAAATCAGTTTCTTGTATCGGGGATAATGACTTGAGAATCATAAGGGTATCGGGATAATGACTTGAGAATCAAGCATGAAAAAAATTAAGTGACTAAATGTGAAAAAAAATTGAAATTTCGTTACCCTTTAAACCAGTATCTTGTAAATGATTATAAATATTATTAAGAATAAGTACAAACTAAATATGAAAGGTCACAAAAGTAAGGATGTAGTAGTAATCATGTGATATACTTTTATTGTATGAGATACTAGAATCAACATTTGGAAATACAATAGAGACCACTTTAATCATATATAAATTAAAGAAACAAAGATTGTGGTGGTTTCATACATATACATAGGACAAATGCAATATTTTTCATTCTATAAGGTGAAGATGGTCGTTGTAAATCTGTAAGGAAGAGAGAACATATGATAAATAAGCGTGAAAACAATGCAATGTCAAATTTGAATGATGTTTTTCTCTTTGCAAGGACACATGCTTTGATTAGAGAGTACGGATGCATAACATCAAAATCAAGAGTACTACATGAGTAGTCTAAGTGTCAGTTGCATTTATATTGTTTGTGTATGTTGCCTAGTTTTCAGTGTTTTTACTTTCAACTTGTTTCATTGATAATTTTCTTCCTAGTTATTACTTATATCTATCTTTTCTATTTGTATGTTGGTTTTATATGTACATACTAACCATGCTCCTTTTGATTTTCAATTTATATTTCCTTTATTGCAGGTATATGTGTCTTTTTGCCTTTGTGAAACTCTACTGATTATTTATTTTGTGTGGGTTGGGGTTTCACTTCTACATAAATAAAGGAACTCTAGTTAAAAGTTTATCTCACTGATTAGCATTAAAGCAATGTACTACAACATGCTTTTGTGACACACATTATGTTTTGTAATACTCCTTACAAACACAACACACAACAAAATAAACTAAAGGATGATTACAATAATGGATAATGCCTTGAAAGGGTAATAACTTTCAACTAGTTCATATTAAGTCACTAAACTTTTTTTCGTGCTTGATTTAGCTAAGAATTATTTGAAATGTTTACATTTTACCCTTACGACCAGTTGTAACCGATCATAAAGGTAAATGTGAACAAATTCAAATAACTCAGAGGTAAATCAAACACGAAAACAAATTAAGTAACTAAATGTTAATAAAGTTGAAATTTTGTTATTCTGTCAAGTCATTATCCTTTTGTTAAGGTATTATTTCTCCAGTTTCTTAACAATCACAACGTAAATTAGTCGATTTAGGTTAGTTAAAGTATAAATTTATTATTACAATTTACATTAAATTTTGAAACATATATTTGAACACTTTTACTTTAAAGTAAAAAAATATGCATAAAAGATAATGGATGGAAGGATAATGCACCTATATGACCAAAAAATTTGGCATGTTTAATGTTTATCCCTACATTACAATGACCATCGTATATTTTTTGTTCATGTTTATTGCCCTCCCATAGGGCAATATGACCATCAATGGCAAACTCAAATGGAAATAAAGACATAACAAAAAAGGAAAATGAGTATAGAGTCTGTTTGGACAGCTACAATAACACCTGCAAGTTCAACAACAGACGTCTTGTAAGACTACCCTTTTACCTTATTTTCTAAATAAATGCTTGTAAAAGTGAATGAAAATGGAGAGAGTAATATACTCGGTACAACATCATAATATTTTTACCTCCATCCCACCCTACATGTGAGGCTGCAATGAGGCTGCAAAAGGCACAGACCCTCAAAAAGCAAACCTTTGACCAAAAAATTATATTAGGAATGTAAACAAATCCATTCATTAGTACATGGTCTAGTGAATGAAGAAAATATTGTGTCTCCAATTTCTGGAAATAAGACATGAGAAACATAATGTTAAGATAATCACGTACTTGTATTGCTTGGTTCCAATGAAAGAAGCAAATAATGTGTCCAGTTTCTGGTAAAAGATACCTATATATGTTATTTTTTCAATGAATTAGAGATAGAAGTCATTTTTCTCATTATCGAAAAGAATTAATCAAGAAGATTCATTATATACAAGATTCTCTACTTCTACTCTCTTCTAACAGATACAACGACTAACTTTAACAAATTTCCAAAATATTTACATCACCAACCCTGAACTATATACAACCACACACATTTGTCATAAGAGTAAATATATTCCAATACCCCCCCCCCTTTCAAGTTGGAGGATGATCAATCATACCCAACTTGAAAATAGTGTCATTATGATCTGAACCATTTAAAACTTTAGTGAAAACATCAATAGGTTGTTGTTTAGTAGGAATGTGGAACAATGAAATCAATCCCCCTTGAAGCTTTTCACGCACAAAATGACAATTAAGTTCAATATTTTTTGTGGGTTCATGGAAGACTGGATTCTTTGCAATATATATTGTCGCCATGTTATCACAATGTGAAGGAATAGGGGTAATTTCGGGAATTTCAAATTCTGTAAGCAATCGACTTAACCAAGTGAGTTCAGAGCACCCCCTTCTCATGGAACGATATTCTGCTTCAGCAGAAGATAAAGAAACAGTTGCTTGTTTCTTTGACTTCCAGGAAATAGGACTTCCTCCCATGGTTATATAATAACCACTAACAGAACGTCGGGTAGTTGTGCAGGCAGCCCAATCGGTATCGCAAAAAGCCTCCAACTGATAATTTGGTTTATTATTCAAAAGTAAACTTTTGTAGATTGTATTTTATAAATAAAAAACCAATGCATGTTTTGCTGCATCAAAGTGATTTTGACAAGGAGAACTATTGAATTGACTCAAAAATTGCACAGTGAATGCAATATTTGGACTTGTATGCAATAAGAAATTAAGTTTGCCTATTAACTATTGATATGATGTGGCATCTACGAGAGGATCATCATTAGTATAAAGAGATTTAATCTTGCTTGGAAGTGGAGAAGTAATTTGGGATGATGATGAAACAGAATATTCAACAAGTAATTCGTTTATGTACCTGTGCTGATGTATGATGATCCCATCTTGGGTATGAATAAATTCAAGATCTAAGAATAAATTAATCATTCCTAGATCTTTTATTTGAAATCCTTTATGAAGTAATCTTTTCAAATCCAGGATCTCTTGTTCATTGTTTTCAGTCACAAGAACATCATCCACATAAACAGCTACAATAACCAACGAATTTTCACTTTTCCTTGTGAACAATGAATGATCATTCTTTGACCTTGTAAAACCTTTATCATGTAAAGCATAGGATAATTTGTCATACCACTGACGTGATGCTTGTTTGAGCCCATACAATGATTTTTTCAATTTGCAAACCATATTTGAGGAAGAATCCATGCCTGGAGGTAATTTCATATAGACAATTTCATGTAATTCACCATGCAAAAATGCATTATTTACATCAAATTGATGGATTTTCCAAGCCTTTTTAACTGCAAGATTGATAAGACATCTGATTGTATTGAATTTTATGACTGGAGAGAAGGTTTCATGAAAGTCAATACCTTCTTTTTGAGTGAAGCCCTTTGCCACAAGCCTGGCCTTGTACCTCTTAATTGTTCCATCCAATTTATATTTCACTTTATAAACCCATTTGCATGAAAATGGTTTCTTACCCTTTGGAGGAGGAACTATATCCCAGGTATGATTAGAATGTAATGCATCAAATTCTTTCTTCATTCCTTCTTCCCATAAAGGATTTCCCTTAGCTTGATGATAAAATTAGGGCTCAACAATTTTTGATTGAACGTTGAAAGCTAAGAAATCAACTTGATTGATATAGTGATCAAAAGATGGCTTGTTTGGTATGAACCAGTTGGTGATTGTATTGGAACATTCATCAAAACAATCATCATGAGTTTGAATATTTGAGTAGATATAATCATTTAAATGGGCAGGTTTGACAGTTATTCTGGTTGTTCTTCGTAATTGAGGTTGAGGTTGAGTAGGATTTTGTTGAGGTGATTGAGGTGGTTCAGGAATATGATCATTCGGTTCAATGAATTGATCATTTGAATAAAAGGAAGGTTGAAGTTCATTTAGTGACTGAGAAGGTTCTTCAAATATAGTAGGAAAATATGAAGAATCAAAAGTATAACCATTGTGTAATGGAAATTTGTCTTCAATAAAAACAACATTCCTTGTGATAGAAATACCCTTGGTATTTAAATTGAGAACCTTATATCCTTTTTTCCCAAAAGGATATCCCACAAATATACATGTATCTGCTCTTGGTTGAAATTTATCTCTATTATGAGAATTTGTGGAAGCATAACATAGACATCCAAAAGACCTTAAGTTGTTGAGATCTGGTTTGACTTTGAACAACATTTCATATGGTGAAAAATTGTTGATAATTTTGGAAGGTATTTTGTTGATAATATATGCAGAAGTAAGAACACACTCTCCCTAATAAGCTTTACCAATTCCATATTGAAAAAATAATGCTCTAGAAACTTCCAATAAGTGTTTATGTTTTCTCTCAACAATTCCATTTTGTTGAGGGGTAGTGGGCATGATTTTTGATGAATGATTCCTTGTTCTTGAAAAAACTTAATACCTTCATTGCTTGAACCCATTTCAAAAGCATTGTCTGTTCTTATAGTTTTAACATTGATGTTGAATTGATTCTTAACATACTTGATAAAGGCTTGAATAAGAGTAAATGCATAACTATTATGTTTGATCTGGTGTACCCAAGTGTATCTTGAATAGTCATCAACAAGTGTTAAGAAATATTTAAAACCATTATAAGTCTCAACTTTATAAGGTCCCCAAACATCAGCATGAATAAGATCAAACGGATTATTTGATACAGAATCACTAGTAGTAAATGACAATTTAT